ACAAAGAGTTATTTTTCATGTGAAATATTTCAAGGTTCCAGCTTTCAAAGATTTGCTGCTTTTCCTTTAAATGATTTTAGTCTAATTTTACTCTTACTGAGGTTTGGACTGTTAGTTGGGTAACTCTGATGGCATTTCTCCCTATTTTTTATAAACCAAACAATCAATCAATTAATGGAGAAAATAATCAGCAGATTGATCTATAAATATTTTTTAGCTGCAGTCAGATCCAAAATAGTTCAAAATGAGCTTCAGGTCAACAACTACAATAGTAAAATCCAGCTTTTACATTAATGCATGAGTAAAAATAATTTAATCAAATATATAGTACTATAACAGTTACAGGAAACGTTTTTCTGCATTAATATTTTAAGTACATTTTCCTGATTACATACTTTTACTTGTAATGGGTTATTTTTACAGTGTGCTAATACTTTTACTGAAGTAAAGGATTTAAATACTTAATCCATCAGTATTATCATTGTCTACTCTGCTCTGTAGTAGTTTTTGGGGGTTTGTTGTGCTATGCAGTATTTCACAGTCAATCAGCTGAAGAGAGAGAGACAGAAAGAAGAGTGAGTTAAATTGAAATGTTCAGAACAAATTGGTTGTTTCCTCAAGAGTAGTACAGAAAACAGTGGAATATGACAGATACTGTGTGTGTGTGTGTGTGTGTGTGTGTGTGTGTGTGTGTGTGTGTGTAATAATTATATCAGCAGTCAGAGATGATGGATGAGTAAGGTTTCTATCTGCAGCCTGAGGCACCTTTTAATCTGACATCACTACTCTGTATGTGTGTGTGTGTCAGTTTGAGACTGTAGCAATTATAGTAGTATCACAACTATCTGTGTGTATGTAATTTCACTTGTACCGCCTAAAAAAGTTGACTTCCAATATGAAACTAGCTTCACTGCAGCAGAAGAGAACTGTATTGGAGATAAAGAGGAGATTCTTGGTGCAGAGTGGGATCAATACCATGCACAGAGGCAACATAGAAAATAAAAATATATACTATGACAGATTATTAGGACCTCTCTTTCAAGGTAGAAAATAAACATCTAGTAATATTACAACCTTGTCCTTGTATAAATGCAACTTATGTCGGTATAATACATTTTTCAAAATGTTTCTACTTTAATCTCAAAATCTTTTGCAACATCTTTTGTAAAACTCTGTTGTAAAACCCAAAACTTGTCAGATCTTCCTGAGCCAAGTTGCTGGAGGTAAGCTATGACTAGACAATCATTGTTTGGGGAAAGAAGGAGAGAGAGTTTAAAAAATGGTCAATTAAGCAGGGATGTTCCAGATATCAAACAAATAACTAAACTATACTAATTAAAATATAAAAATATGATAGTTTCATAACCTTTGTGATTGTTGCCATCTGTTCGGATTAGAAACTCACATCTTGTAAAACAGGTAAAAGATTCTGCAGAATATAATTTCATCCAGATGGTTAAAAAAAGTCTATGAAGATTCTGAAAATACTGAATAAGCAGTTAGTTGTTGTCTGTTATGGCAGAAAATTGTGTCCTCTTACATTTAATCTTTTATGTATGTTCTTTTAATATTATTATTATTATTACTATCATTGTTATGTCATATAGATATATATGTATTGTGTTTTTTTATCCTTAACCTTTCCTCTCCTCTATATACTCCTTATGTTAGTCTGTCCATATTTACTAGGGTTTAGGTCAGAGCTGTGAGATTGTTTTGGTGTTTCCCCCTCTTGTTGTTCCTCTCCTCTCCTGGAATGTTCATTCAAGGCCTGGAGAGGATCTCTGTTCCCCAAAACATAGAAACCTAGACTGTGTAAATGATGATGCATCCCTTTGCTCGGTGCCAGACGTCCGAAGCCGCCATAGGCTGCAGGTCTCTGGACCAGCTGTGTTTTAGTACTTCTCTGTTTATTCTCTTTTATTAATAAATTCTTATTATTCTTATTATTAGTCTTGGCTGAGGTGGAAAAGTTGGTGTGTCGATAAAAGCAAAATGTGACAAAGTGCAGTGGAAACAGATTCAGTGTATAAATCAAGATGTAAACAAAGCATTTTTTCCACCATGTGAGGTTTGACTGGTGGTGCTTTTTATCTAAGTCATCTTGCTGCGTCCTCTTGTTCTACAATGGTATAATGACACCTGACAGGAGAATTAATGCCACCTACTTCTTATCTCGATGAACCAAATGTAGTTATTATAATTGAGGTTCAGGAACAAGACCACCCCCCTCTCCCCAAACCCTGTTTCTCTCCTCTTTCAATTCGCCTTTCTGTGTGGAGTTCTGTGTTGCATATTCTCCAGTGTTTGCTTGGGTTTCCTCCTACCATCAAAGACATACATGCTAAATTTCATAATTCCACCAAAGTAATGTTCTTTTCTAACTCAGGAACCACAGGGGGATCGTAAAGCGAGACGCTTATAGAGAGGTGCCTCCACCTTCAAGTCCCCTGGGTTCCTAGAAGCTCCGGCCACCACGACCCAGATCAACCCACTTGATCTCTCCCCTCTCGACCCCTCCATCATTTCCTTCCCGGACCATCTCGCTCACCAAATAAAGTACCTTTTGTACATCATTTGGCGTGGTCTCTGCTAGTGAACTCTAGTTTTAGCAGATGTGAAGATGCATAAATTAGTATTTTGTTTTGCCTATTTTCTGAAATTTCTGCGCTTGTGTAGCGTTGATGATATTATTTACAGATATTAGTACTGTATTAATGATCTGAGAGACTAATGTAGCTGAGGGGAGACTGGGGTGGTGAGAAGGAGTATTTCGAGGAGAGCTGTTAAGGTGGTGAATAAGAAGAACTAAATGTCACAGGATCTTCATGCAGATAGACTCAACAATGGCAGGATGAGAAAATGTAGGAAGTGGGGACGGATGATTGGGTTAGAGAGAGACATAATCTGTGGAGAGTGTGGAATAAATGTTCTTTATACCCTATATGTCTTGTTCTGTTGAAAGATGAATGTAATATCTGTTATGTAAGTTAACTCACCCATGGTTTCTCTGGACTTCTGTAATTTCCCACCATCGCTGACGTCATGTTGTTGAGATTCAGAGCAGCCCTGAGGACTTTCCTCTGACAGATTACTGGCAGTATCTTTAGAGTAATGAGGACTTTGACTTATGGTTTACTGTCACAGCTTTATAGACGACAGTAAAACTCTGCTGACTGCTGAGACTCTGATAGTTACAAGAAATTAGAGGAAGGAGACAGAGAAAAACGTCTCTCACGTCTCTCTCAGAAGATAATTAATCAAGAATGTAACCTTTATTTTAAACAAGTTGGCCCCTAAATTTGAGCTCATTGTTTCTTATATAATTTTTTTTTGAAGACATACCTGCTGGAATGACAGAAATTCTTAGGTAAGTGATTTTATCTTTTTTCTTTGAGTCTCTTAACATTGTCTTAATTATGAATCTTTGTATTTGTATCGATATTTTCTGATATTAGCCACACTATTTTTTTTTTATTTCAAGACTAGTCAAGACCATAACTTTGGGAATATCAATAAATTGCTTGTGCATTGTCTGATTTATTTGTTAACATCCAAATTTTGATTGGATGTAAAACATATTGCAACAAAAGAAATGTGTTGTTACCGTTAACGCCTGTCACCCCTCCCTACATGGTAAGCATAGAAAACGAGTGTTGGATAAAAATGCTTATGTTGATTTCAGCTCTTGGTGTTTGTATGTGGGTGTTTTAATCAGAATGTGGATGTTCAGATCAATTTGAGAAGTACCTATGATCTCGTTCCACATTTTATTGTGTGTCATGTAATGTGGGGAACTGGTCTTGGTCTTGACTCGGTCTCAGCCCCTAAAAGTCTTGGTCTTGTCTCAGTCTCCATTTACTCTGGTCTTGGTCTTGACTTGGTCTTGGATTGGGCGCTCTTGACTACAACACTAGTTCAAGGTATAAAGACATGCTACTTTGTCTTTCCTATCAAATCAAAACCTCAATGGAAAAACTTCATATTGAGATAATCATAGCAACAATGCTGACTTTTACACAATGTTGATGGTTAACTGTCTAACAGACTTAAAACCATTTAATTACCAGCTTTAAGGTTGTTAAACTCTTGTCTTACTCAACATTTCTGAGTAATACACTGCACATATTCTATAGCATCTTGTTTCAACTTGACATTGAAGCTAAATTATGTTTGAGTTAATTATTCAACATTAATACAACTCTTTGCTGATTAGGGATAAAAAAATCCAAAAAGGTGCAAGCGGAAGTTCCGAGTGGGATGAACAGGGAGTAAAAAATAGCGATGGATATTTGAGTCAGGTGACAGTATGCTTGTTCCCTGAAAATATAAAATATAGAACTTGCTTGAATGCACAGTAATTAATGACACATTTCCCTGCTACAATAGCAGAATAAAATATTAAGAAAATAATCATAAGCACCGTTGACCTCCTGAATAAAGGTCCACTTCTCTGTTGGGTTTATGACACTGCAGGGAAATCACAGCACCGCCCCCCCAACCCAGCTGAGTGAATTAGCATGTCACTCAGCTGGGTTAGTCATCTAGCTCTCTGTTATTTATTTATCCAGCATTGCATCAGCCCAATTTCTTTGACAGTACACAAGGACGTGTCTTGGACATGTACATAAGTGGTCCAACCTTGGGTTCCTGGTATTTCTTTCCGTGATATATCTTATCTACCCATTTGCTCCCATAATAAGTTACAGAATTTGTATTTTAACATGTAGATAAAATTTAAGGTGGTATCTAGAGGAGTTATGAGCCATACAGAACACAGAAGTCTTTCTATTGTGCTACACAGTGATGCTGTGACATCTATAAAAGAAGTTCTTGAACTTTCTCAACTTTGTCAGGTAAAATATATAGCAAACAAATTCCTAATTCATGGACTTGAACTCAAGATAATTATAGATAGAGATCACTCTGTAATCAACCCATTGAGGAAATTGCACATCTTTTGAGTTGAGAATTTTGTTTGATCTTATCAGGGTGCAGAGATGGTGACGATTAACGAGCTGCTTTTGGAAACACTTGAAAATTTGGGACACAAGGAGCTAAAATCTTTCAAGTGGTACCTGCAGATGCCTGAGGTCCACGATGGCTTCACCCCAATCCCAAAGTTCCAGCTAGATGAGGCAGACATGCTGGACACAGTGAATGTGATGGTGCAGAAATACAACCAACGGGCTGTGGAGGTGGCCAAGATGGTTTTAGGGAAGATGAGCAGAAATGATCTGGTACAGCATTTGTCAAACAGCAGTTCAGAACTAAAAGGTAAGCTATGGAGAGACGAACGTGAAAATATAGTCTAGAGAAAGAACACATTAACCCCTTGACGCCGATTGTCGCAAATTCGCATCATACCTCTTCCTTGCAGACTGCAAGCCAAGATAGCACATGGATTCCCCCAATGCCTGTTGGTGTATATTCGATACGTACCTAGGAACATTTTGCAAGCCCTGGTTTCTCGTTTATGCCTGTTGTCGCTAATTTGCATCATACCTACACATACCTGAATTTATATCTTTTCTATGTTCTATAGACAAATTAACAATCTTCACTTATTTAACATCAACTTGAAAGCAAATGAAAACAAAAATATATTTTTTAATTTTTTGATTGTAAATAAATTCAGGCGTTAAGGGGTTAAATACAGTAATTTATGCAAACAATTTATACCAACTAACTAGATATTCTTCAAAATGCAACCCAACACTGAACTGTGAGAGGCAGCAATGTACAGCAAGGCACCTAGTCAGCCAGAATCTAGGAAAGAAGAAAAAGTTCTCTTTACCAAAGAAACCCATTAATTGTATGAACAAGGCCAGGTTAATCTTATAAAAATATCAGCTATAAGTTTTAAATTATGTACTCTAAAATATGAAATGTGTAACTTTTACATACAATTATTTCCTGTTTGTCCTGATACATCCATGTTTAGGGAATGTCAGTGATGTTGTAGAGTCTACAGAGGACACAGGAGCTTCTGCCGTTCAACCACAGGCATCTGCTCTTCCTCCCCCTCTCACTAACAGCAGTCAACCTCAAGGTAAAGCTATTCTTTGTGTGACTGTAATGATTAGCAGAGGACTGCCTACTTGACAGAAGTTTCTGGATGGTTCTCCATGTATCATTTCGGGTGGTTTGGTAGAACTTTGGTTGCAGTGTCACTCCCTTTTTTAGGGTTTCTGTGGTGATGGTTCCTAGACTTAAAGTCCAAATGCTGACAATGGATCCAGACTAGGTCACGCTGGTGTCACAGCAGGGAGTGAAAGCAACTGGTTTTCCTCCCATGTAAACAAACAAAAAAACAATAACAAGAATTAGAAACTATGTTATAAATTGTAATCCTTGTTCCATGGGTGTGCATGGGTGTCTTGCTCAGCAGAGAAGTGAATTGGGAATGTTATAGTTCATATTACAGGGCCTATGCTCATAGAATTGGATAATGAGTTTCTTTCACCATGGTTGACATTTTCTTCCTCACAGATATGAAGACTTCAGTGCAAGAGCCTGCACAATGGATCATAATATACCAACGTACACTCCAGTCTCACCTTCAGAGCAAGTTTATGTGTGCTCAAGAGGGCATGGCAGAGAAGTCGGATGAACAGTGTCTGGTTGACATCTACACAGAGCTGTTCATCACAGCTGGGGTGGAACTACGCATCAATGAACAGCATGAGATCATGCAGATTGAGATGCACAATGGGAAGGTAGCAGTGAAAGAGAAACCAGTTGAGCAAAGTAACATATTCGAAAGCCCTACTGGAAAACACAAACCCATAAGAACAGTGTTGACGACTGGAGTTGCAGGAATTGGCAAAACATTCCTTGTTCAAAAGTTTGTGTTGGACTGGGCTGAGGGACTAATGAATCAAGATGTGCATCTTTTATTCCCCTTCACTTTCCGTGAACTGAATTTACTGAAGGGAGGAAGGTTTCGCTTGGCAGAGCTAATCCGCACATGTATCTGGGAAACCAAAGACATCTCGATGGAGAAACTTCACGACATCTTCAGAGAACTACAGGCATCAGGAAACCGAAATTTTAACAAAAGTAAATATAAACTTCTGTTTGTGTGGGATGGCCTAGATGAAAGCCGCCTTCAGCTGGACTTCACTCACATTGAAAAACTGCCAGCTGACTTCAATGTCACACAGCCAACCTCAGTGGATGGACTGCTGACAGCTCTCATCACAGGGAAACTGCTTCCCTCTGCTCGAGTATGGATAACCACAAGGCCTGCAGCGGCTAATCAGATCCCTCGAGAGTTTGTTGACAGCATGACAGTGGTGAGGGGATTCACTGGTCCACAGAAGGTGGAGTACTTCAGGAAGAGATTCCCAGATAAAATGCAAGCCAGCAGAATCATCTCCCACATGAAGGCATCGCGAAGCCTCTTCATAATGTGCCACATCCCAGTTTTCTGCTGGATCACTGCTACAGTTCTAAAGGATGTTTTGAAGACCAGAACACAGGCAGAGCTGCCCAGAACCCTGACTGAGATGTACACAGAATACCTAAAGTATCAGATGACCCTGACAGAAGAGAAATGTGGCACAAAAAAGAGCATTCATTACATCCAGTCATTAGCAAAACTAGCTTTTGACCAGCTAGAGAAAGGCAACCTCATCTTCTACGAGAAAGACCTGAAAGACAGTGGCATCAATTTCCGTAAAGCCTCACTGTACTCTGGAGTTTTCACAGAGGTCTTTAAAGAGGTGCACAAGTGGAAGAGGGACAATGACAAGGGCAAGATGTTCAGCTTTGTCCATTTAAGCCTTCAGGAGTATATGGCTGCCCTTCATGTGGTGATGTCACTCATTAACAACAACAAGAATGTTCTGTCAGAGCCACAGCTAACACTGGAAAGTCTGTTTATGCTTTGCAAGAGAAAATCCATAACAGAGGTCAATGAGATTGCAATTGACAAAGCCTTACAAAGTCCAAATGGGCACCTGGACTTGTTCCTTCGCTTCCTCATGGGTCTTTCCCTGCAGACCAATCAGGATCTCCTTAAATGCCTGTTGAAGGTGCCAAAAGGGTTCTCTCAGACCAACCCCAAAACAATCCAGTTCATCAAGGAAAGGATCAGGGAGAATACATCTCCAGAGAGGAGCATCAATCTGTTCTACTGTTTGAATGAGCTGAAAGATGATTCTCTAGAGGAGGAGATCCAACAGTACCTGAGTTCAGGAAGGCTTTCCACAAAAACGCTCTCTCCGGCTCTCTGGTCAGCTCTGGTCTTCATCTTGTTGTCATCAGAAGAAGCGCTGGAGGTGTTTGACCTTAAAAAATACTCTGCTTCAGAGGAGGGTCTACTGAGGCTGCTACCAGTGGTCAAGGCCTCCAACAAATCCCTGTATGTGCACAGAAAACTACATGCCTCAACTGTGCCAAATGTGGGAATATATGTTTACTTATTTTTATTTTTTCTCAAAATTTCTCAGGCTGAGTGGCTGTAATCTGTCAGAGAACAGCTGTGAAGCTCTGGCCTCAGTTCTCAGCTCTCAGTCCTCTAAACTCAGAGAGTTGGACCTGAGTGACAATGACCTGCATGATTCAGGAGTGAAACTCCTCTCTGCTGGACTGAAGAGTCCACATTGTGCCCTGCAAACTCTCAGGTAAGGAAGCATTTGTTCTTCTGATGACCATTTCAATACTGCTTTCCACAATAGTTTCACTAAGATAGATAGTGTCTGTAGGGTTTTTATTGCTTCCCACTGAATTTGTGGTTCCAACATTTTGCAACCTAGCTGCACAATGTGAGACTCAAGACAGCAAGGTAAAGTCCTTACTCGACACAACTTCAATGAACTTATATTTTAATGAAGCAGTCAAAAATCCTGAAAAGTCCTTAAATTAAGACTATAGATTAAATTAAACTATAGAACAACACATAGAAGAACAATGTCAACTTGCAGTTGGAAATGGGACACAAACAGCATTATCCCGTGTTAAACGCCAACGTTTTGTTTATCCTGCCAACCATCCAAACCTCCTATTACAGTCACCTCACTTCCCACACTCAATTGCCTAGACAACAAAGGTGAAAAGGGAACAAGCCTAACTCCTAAATCCTAATGACTCCGGCTACGGCACGTTACAGCTGCACCACGGGTTTTGATCCTTCCATAGCCCAGTGTCAAAGTACACTGGAAGCGTCTCAGAAGCTTTTTAGCGGCAGAGCGTGCAGCCTGAACCACATTATTGACTTGTTATAAATTTGTCCTTTTTGTGCTTCTACTACCTTCTTCACAGCTCTCTGTGTTTCGTTCTGTCAACTTCAGGCTGCCTATTCCACAAGGAACATTTCAGAATCAGAGCATTTTGCCTGCCTGATTTTGCTGACATGTTTAGATTTTGTTGATTTGGTCATTAGTGTTTGCTTTTTGTACTTCTTCTATGATTGTTGTTTACAATCGGGAGTCTCCACAGGGTGTTTTATTTGGAAAATTGACCAGATTCTCTATGCCGTTCTGTGTTTGACTTCCTGCCTGGTTCGATCTGCTCTGTGCTGCAGCATTGACTAGAATGGCAGCAATTAGCTCCAGCAACCAGGGCGCAGACATAACGTGCTTCAGCGGACTTTAGGCATAACATGTCCATTGACATACATGGCAACAAAGGCCAGAGGGACATTGTTGCATCAGAGAACACCGAGCCCAGAGTGATAAGTTCAAACGTGACCGGAGGTGACTGTCCCAGTTGTCAAGTTGCACTTTCAGTTGCCAAAACAAAGTGGATGTTGGGTTTTCATAGGATGCAAGATGCATTGGATGTAGTACAGAGAAGGTAGTTAAGCTTCATGTAAAGCTTCTATAAACCGGAACATGCAGTCCACTTTGTCAGTTATATGTGTGTGTGTGTGTGTGTGTGTGTGTGTGTAGACTGTCAGGCTGTATGATCACACAGGAAGGCTGTGCTTCTCTGGCTTCAGCTCTGGAGTCCAACCCCTCCCACCTGAGAGAGCTTGACCTGAGCTACAATCATCCAGGAGACTCAGGAGAGAGGCTGTCTGCTGGACTGAACGATCCACACTGGAGCCTGGACACTCTCAAGTATGAATTAAATGATAAACTATGTATCCTTTCACACTTATAAACAGTGTTGGGTCTTGTTAAATAAGGTTAATTCTGACTTTGTTCCTTCCTGTAGCCTCGACCATGGTGGAGAGCAAAGACTGAAACCTGGTCTGAAGAAATGTAAGTTTAATATGAGTTGAACACCACACATTCACTTGTTACTTTATAGTACGTAATCCTACCTACATAATACATGCATAATACCATGTACACTTACAGTGTGAGAAAATGGTAAAAAGAAAAAAAACAACCTCATCAATAATTCCATTCAAAGCTCAAAGCATCTGTCAGCTATTCAAAGAACTCTGACAGTTATTAATTTGATTTGTGAGTGCAAACCTTTGGAAGCAATGAGATGACAGAGCTTCTAAATAGCTAAGTCCTCTGAGCCTGAAGAGCAGCGGTGTCGATCAAAGTAAGGCCCATTAAAAACACGTAAACAACACGACAATGGTGGAGAAACTGACAGACATTTACCGCTTCCTTAGAACTTCATTACACTCTTACAACTCCGTTTGAACCAGAGATGCTCACAAGTATTTGTGCTATTGTCCAAGTCAAGTCTCAAGTTTTTGAGCATGAGTCCAAGTCAAGTTTCAAGTTTTTGAGCATGAGTCCAAGTCAAGTCTCAAGTTTTTGAGCATGAGTCCAAGTCAAGTCTCAAGTCACTTGTGGTTATAATGAATGTTGTATCACCTGCTGTGTTCAATCCAGGCTGCTTATTACTGTAACCTGTTTTACATATACAGAGCGCAACCATGTAGCCTAATGTGCAATGCGACTACAACTAATCACAGCTTATAAACTACTGTAAGTCAACACATCCCCCAGAGTCTCAAACCCAGTGTAACGTTACCTAAATAAAACTGTAACGTTTCATGATCAACAATAAACCTGTAAACTGTTTGCAGGCGACGTTAATAATTAACATGATCACAGCCAGCGGGATGTAAATGATTATGTTAATCGACCACCAAAAGTTTGGAAAGTAAACAAAGGCTCATCTTTCATTCATCTTTACATAACGAACGACAGTCGGAGTTAACATCCCGTAGGTCGTAGCTAAAGCCAGAAGCAAGCTAACGTTAGATGGCCAATGTTGAGCTTAACATGTTTACTAACCTCAGGTTACTAACCTATTTTGCATTCAGTGCTTCTTTGTTTGGTCCTTGTTGTATGAAGTTTATGTCAAAGTTGATGATGAATGGCACTGTTTGTTGTCCTCTCTCACATGTGGCCATGCGCAGCAGATCCGTAGTATGTTTTGCGTAGGCAGGTTATAGTTAATGGAGGGAGGGGAATAACAGCAAGCTCATCAGACGTTCATTCAACTCATTTTCCTAACAACTTAAGTTGAACACACGAGTCTCAAACTCGAGTCCCCATCTCTGGTTTGAACACATTCATTTCTAACGTATACCAAACCTGCGTGAGGACGATAACTGTGTTCCACCCCCACAAGTGTAACCCATTTTTGCTGTTGCAGAGTGGTGCAGCTCGCGCTGTACTGTAGTTTATTCAAAGGTTATTAATTCTGGAGGGAATAAGCCCCGTCTATGCGAGCCGCTCCACCGCCGCTTAAAAATGTTTACAAAAGGATATACAGTATATGCTAAGCTAAGCTAACAATCTGATGGCTGTAGCTTTAGATTTACCGTACACATTTGAGAGTGTTATCAGTTTTTTCGTTTAACACAAAACAAGAAGTCAAATATCGCATTTCCCAAAATGTTGAAATATTGTTTTCAGTTGCCACATCAGGTGTATTAAATGATAAACTTGTTTTGTCCATCAGATGTTTGTGAACTAACACTGGATCAAAACACCGCACATGGAAACCTCAAACTGTCTGACAACTGCACGAAGGTGACAACCGTAAAAGAGAAGCAGCCGTATCGTCATCACCCAGACAGATTCGACTGCTGGCTTCAGGTGCTGTGTAGCACTGGTCTAACTGGTCGCTGTTACTGGGAGGTTGAGTGGGAAGGTAGGGTTTACATAGCAGTGACATACAGAGGAATCAGACGGAAAGGAGAGGGAGCTGACGGCTGTCTTGGAGCAAATGACCACTCCTGGATGCTGCTCTGTGATGACGACGGTAGTATCTCTGTCCGACATGAAGACAGAGCTACGCCAATTTGTCCCCGGTCGTCTGCTGCTTCTAACAGAGTGGCAGTATTTTTGAACTATCCTGCTGGCACTCTGTCCTTCTATACAGTGGAATCTGACAAACTGACTCACCTCCACACCTTCCACTCCACCTTCACTGAGCCTCTTTACCCTGCATTTGGGTTTGGGTATGGATTTGATGGATTTGACTTAAGTTCCTCAGTGTCCTTAAGGGAGGTAGAAGATGGCACCTTCTCCACACACTGTTGAATGAAGACAGTTGCTGAAACTCTGGTTCACTCTGTACAGCATCACAAACAAGACCTTACAATGAGTTTTCATGCAACTAATATATCAGTGACCTAATTTCTGAAACATAATGTATGATTAAAATCATGTGGCACAGAACTGGACAAAAATAATCAGACTGATTTCTATGGACAAGCTCCAACTACAACTACAAGCAAACTTCATTCAGTGATGAAGACCATGTGATATGGGTAAAAGCTCCAGATAAAGCCCTCCATAACTGAGATGGTATTGTTTTGTTGAATTACCGTGCCGAATGTCAACAATTACCTTTCAACGGGGATAAGAAGTTGTTAAAGTATTATGACTGAAATCAAATTAGCTCCCGGGTTTGCATGTCAACATCTCCATACAGTTACGGTGATACCGTTTAAAGCTCCATAAAAAGCTAGTAAGTGGACCTTGGCTTGGAGTTGGTTTTTTGAGCTATTTGTGAAATGCTTTTTATATTATCTTTCAGAAATTACATGACTTGTTGAAAGTATCAAATACTCACCTGTGCAGACCTTACAGCTGTTCCAATGGATTCCAATGCCAACCAAGATTCCTGGTTAAAATAAAAAAATAAAAATGCCCAGGGAAAACCACTCAAACCACTACTTTAGCTTAGTCCACCACTCCTCTGTCATCTGAAGGCTCAATATGTTCCAAATACTTTCTGTCAGTAAAATGAAAGACAAATGAAATTTAAAGTTCACAGAGTATTTCACTGAAAATAATTTGTAAACTGACTCTTGAGATTGTGAGCCTTTAAGAGCAAGAGTGCATGGTGGACAGTAATTAAGTACATTACGATACTGTACCTAAGTATGAATTTGAGGTTGTTTTCATGCCACTTTCTACTTCTACTCAACTATGTACATCTCAGAGAGAGATATTGTACTTTTTACTTCACTACATTTATCTGACAGCTTTAGTTACTAGTTACTTTTTTTATCTTTAAGATTTTACACAAAGACTACTCTGACGATTTTTCTCAGTATTTTCAGAATTTCAAAAATTGATTGGAGAAAATAATCAGCAGATTAACTCATAACGAAAATAATAATTAGTTGCACTCCAATACAAAATAGTTTGAGCCAACAATTACACAATAAAATCCTGCTTTCACATTAAAGGTTCAGTGTGTAAGTTTTAGTGCCATCTAGTGGTGAGAGTTGCAAATTGCACCCCTCCTCCCATATCCAAGCGGGTTGTATAGCTACGGTGCCTGAGACAGGACAAAAGATTTCCTCTGTGAGATAGCACAGAGTTGCCAGTCAAGAAATTAGGTTTCTTAACATAGATATAGGTCAAACTAAAAAAATTAGCATATCGTTATTTCAATAATTCAACTTAAAAGGTGAAACTAATATATTATATAGACTCATTACATAGAAAGTGAGATATTTCAAGCCTTTATTTGATATTATTTCGATCATTATTGCGTACAGCTTATAAAAACCCCAAATTCAAAATCTCAGAAAATTAGAATATTACATGAAATCAATAAAATAAAGGATTTTAAATACAGAAATGTGAGCCCTCTGAAAAGTATAATCATGCATATGTACTCAGTACTTGGTTTAAGGCCCCTTTTGCATGAATTACTGCCTCATTGCGGCGTGGCATGGATGCTATCAGCCTGTGGCACTGCTGAGGTGTTAGAGCTGAAGGCCGCTATTGAAGCATCCTGGTCTGCTTCAATAGCGGCCTTCAGCTCTTCTGCATTGTTCGGTCTCATGTCTTTCACCTTTCTCTTGGCAGTGCCCCATAGATTCTCTATGGGCTTCAGGTCAGGCGAGTTCGCTGGTCAGCAGTAATCCCATGGTCATTGAACCAGGTTTTGGTACTTTTAGCAGTGTGGGCAGGTGCCAAGTCCTGCTGAAAAATTAAGTTAGCATCTCCATAAAGCTCGTCTGCTCTAGGAAGCATAAAGTGCTCTAAAATGTCCTGGTAGACGGCTGCGCTGACTCTGGACTTAATAAAGCACAGTGGACCAACAGCAGCAGATGACATGGCTCCCAAAACCACCACAGACTGTGGAAACTTCACACTGGCACTCAAGCATCTTGGATTGTGTGCCTCTCCATTCTTCCTCCAGACTCTGGGACCTTGGTTTCCAAATGAGATGCAAAATTTGCTCATCAGAAAAGAGGACTTTGTACCACTGAGAAATTCTTTATTCTTTACACTTGTTAAAGCACTTTGTAACTTGTTTTTGAAAAGTGCTCTACAAATAAGGATTATTATTATTATTATTATTATTAAACAGACCAGTTCTTTTTTTCTTTAGCCCAGGTAAGACGCTTCTGACGTTGTTTGTTGTTCAGGAGCGGCTTGACAAGAAGAATACGACAGGGCAGTAAATGTTTAGCTGGCTGATCTGAGCTTAATGGTTTATTATGCAAGGTCTTTACACACCACTGAAAACATAGTAATGGATATTATATTGCATTTCTGTCAGTGAATCCTCAGAAATATTACACACTGAACCTTTAATGCATGAGTAATAATAATAATCTAATATGTAACAGTAGAACAGTCTTTCTGCAATGAGTACTTTTACTTTTAATACTTTAAGTTCCTGATTATACTTACATACTTTTTACAGTGTGGTATTCATAGTTTTCAGTCACATGACATGCCCACTGACCTGGAGGGCAAAACAACGGACCAACATAACGGCTCACACCGCGACTCCCCCTGTAGAGACAGTCAAAAGCAAGCAGTCAAATTTATTTGGATCACCTTTCAACTTAAGAAAAAGAAAGATATAAAGACAAACTGCAAGTGCTGGGCATATCCAATCCATATAGAGGTTTCCCGCGGCTCCTTAAAAAGTCTTAAGGTCTTAAATTGAAATCGTGGAAATTAAGGTCTTAATTTGTCTTAAATTTACCGTAAATTTGCTGTAGGTATTAAATTTGCCAATGGTGCATTTAAGGCTGGTGAGAAAATTGTCACGACTAAAATGCCTAATTAGCGTGTATTTGTATGATTTTTTTTGAGTAATTGACAATGTTACGTTTATGTTAGCTGCAGACGTTGACGTCTGGCTGCATGTCATATTATCATCAGTTGTGGCTGCAAGATTGGGAGACGCAAGTTAAAGTGGTTGAAGGAAGATCCGATCATCCTGTCTAGCTCAAACAACTGTAGCCTACATCACGTCCTCCTCTCATTTGCGCAGGTCCTGATTGGATCACATCTGTCCTAACTGCGTCTCAGGTGCATTTACACATGTACTTTCATGTGGTCAAGTGCTACCCGATCACGATCAGATCACCCAGGTTCACCAAAGTTATTACAATTAAATCTGAGATGAACGTGAATGTCTGAACCACAATACAGGCAATCCAAAAAATGATTTTTCATATTTTTTAAAAAGACATTTCACTCAGAACCACAATGTCAGCCTCACGGTGGCACTAGATGAGACGTCAGGGCATCATATAAGTCACTAGGGCTCATCCTCTGGGGAACATGAATATCTAGACAAAATTGCGTGTCAATCCATACAAAAGATGTTGAGACATAAACATAAAATCACAAATGATTAGGGTGACAATGGAATTTCAAAAAATAAATGCAGAACTAACTGTTAGACTATACCTTTAGATTTGAATAATCAGGTAAAACACTGCTCCCTGTTCAGTACAGATTCTTCCTGGACTGCATATTTGCCAGAAACCTTCAATGATTTTGAAACTCAGACACTTTTTTGGGAAGGTAAACCCTAAAAGGGGGAATGAGAAGACCATCCATAATAATGTTGCTGGAGACCTTGTTAATACGGCTCAATTTCAGCTGAAGGAACCTGATTATTTTGCCATGTAAACCTTTAACTGGGTTTAAAAAGGCTTTACTAAGTGTGTAAAAGCCTTGTGCACATTTACTCTGCTGCTGAATCCCCAGATTCTCACACACACATTCAGCTTGTGCTGGTAATCCAAACTACAGAGAGCTACTGGTGTGTGTTTGCTTTGTTATCTGTGTCTGCGTGTGTGTTTTAGAGTGCGTCTCAGTGTGTTTGAGTGTATGTTTGTGTGTGTGTGTGCTGCAGGGTAAATAGCGTCTGATTTGTACTGTGACTCTGCAGCCTTCAATTCTATTTTCTCTCAATGTCACAGACTGTGTGTGTGTGTGTGTGTGTGTGTTTTCAGGGTTTCATGTCAGGTTATAATCCTGTCAGGCTCAGAAACCTGAACTGACATGAACAAGAGAGGGAGGAATGAATGACAGACTCTCTCTCTCTCTGGGGTAACCATGGTAACAGGTCTGTCTCTGTTACAATAGCTCCAGGTTGGAAACTGGCTGACTCTGTGCCCTTGAGCAAAACAGTCTGAAGGGACAGTACACAGATTTAAAAAGGGAAGAAGAAGAAGAAGAAGAAGAAGAAGAAGAAGAAGAAGAAGAAGAAGAAGAAGAAGAAGAAGAAGAAGAAGAAGAAGAAGAGCCTTTTATAAATGCTCTAAAACTGCAAAAATATTAAACTAAACACTCAAACCGACAGAAATATCAAACTAAAGACTCTAACACAGACACAAAAATCTATCTGAAAACCATTAAACTTACAATTTACAATATTTATATAAGACAGAAACATCAAAATAATGACTGCAAGATATGAAAAATAACTAAATACTCCCACACAAATATCAAACTAAAAGAATCCAAAACCAGCAGATACATAAAAAATAAGACCTTGCAGGCAACAGAAATATCAATTTAAAGACTCTTAAACCAACAGAAATATATAAACCCATGCAAATATCAAATTAAAAAAAGTACACCAAAATCAATCTAAACACCAACCGAGATAAACATCAAACTAAAGACTTATGTAAATATGATTATACACATACTGTGTGTATACTTTGATGAGGGAGGACATACCCTGCTTAGTTTACAATCACAATATGTTATATTAAAGGCAGGGTAGGCAAGTTGTTTCTGAAACACTTTTTGTCATATTTGTTGAAACTGTCTATTTACACCAATACATATTAAAAAGTTAGGTGCTCTGAAAAAGAGCGTATAAAAATCAGCTGTCTGTAGTCCTCTCAGGGCTGCAGTAAACACAGCCACTCATTCCATTCGGACCGAATGCAATGATTGGCTGGGTGACTGTCACTCTCCCTCGCTGCCAGTGTTGGGAACATCACTTTAAAAAAGTAATTAGTTATAGTTACTCACTACTTGTTCCAAAAAGTAACTGTGTTAGTAACTGAATTACTCTATAATAAAAGTAACTCATTACCAGTGAAAGTAACTATTTGCGTTACTGTTAAAAAAAAAAGTAGCTATATATCAAAGAATTTGGATTTTTTGAGCAGTTTTCACAAGTCAGTTGACGTGAGTAGAACAGACAGGTGTTTGTACATAACTTTCGATATTTATTGCACTTCGACAGACAGCAAGAGGTTTATCCTGCAAGTATTATCTTTGTAAGATAAGTAAACAGTTACACCATATAAACTCTAGCAAATTAAATCAAACTCTCTCAACCTGAGACAACTGGTCAAGTAAATAACCTTTACTTCCAAGTGTTTTGTTCACAACAAAAGTAAACCTTTGAACAACAAAAAAGTGTGTTTAGCTCTGTAGTCTTATTCTTAATTAAATAAATCAAACTCCCAATGTCAGACAACTGTTACCGGT